CACCATGTTTGCATCGGCTGTGTGAATTCCATTCTTTTTTTTCTTTCATAGGGTCTCCATGATCATGAATGAGGTGTGGCCAAGGACCAAACACCATTTTGTTTTAGGCTTTGCATTTTGGTTTCATTTATTACGTTTTAAGGTATTTTTGGCCGTTGAGAGGTCATATTTTGCATCTAGGACATTTTGATGCCGCGGACCATTCGGACGCGTCTTAAATGTCTTTTTACGTTTGCATGCATGTCTACATTTCACAAAACTCTAAAGTTTCAACTTTTGACCTATTTTTGGGAGATTTTATGATTTTTTATGAAAAATTCATGCATTGGGGTATCATTTTGAGTTCCTCTTTGCTTTGGCATGTTTTGGATCCTTGTATGACGCTAGGGAATGTTTTCAAACTTGTTCGAATCATATAAAATGCATGTAGAGCCTTAGAGATGGACCGGGCATCACACACACACATTGCAGCAGTTTTTCTAAGCTACAGCAGATGTGTCGGTCGGCTGATGAGGATCCATCAGCCGGCTGACAAGGCCTTCGAGACCATTCCAATAACCTTTTATTGAAAAACATCATTTCAGCCAGCTAATCATTGGGGTTTGGTCAGCTGATGATTAAGTTTCAGCTGGCTGACCCTTGTTGTCGGTCGACCAAACCTCCCTAGAACCCTTCCTTTTCAGCTTTCTTTGGATAGCTTAGTTGTTTTGACTTCAGAGGGTCATATCTCTTTCATTTCTAATCCAAATTGGTTCGTTCTTGAGTCTAAATTCAAAATCTTGAAGTTAGCTTCCCAATGGTACCGACCACTCATCAAAACTTCATCTATAGTGTGAGGTATTCCAGTTTTAGTGAGATAGGTTCGTGGTAACTCTTAAACGGAGAAGGCTACTTTGTTTTAATTTCATATTTTTTTCATCCGGACTCAAAATCAAGCGATTTTTAAGTCTAACTTCGTTCATTTTTTATTGTATTTCCAATGGTGTGCACGGTGGCACCTATTTCAATGTGAAATGATCATTTTGCCCTTAGTTCATTTCTTTTTGGGTTTAGCATTCTTACTTCATTGCTTGACTCATTTGAGTTCCGTGACTTCATGGGGAGTCATCTTGGTGCCTTAGGGATAACGTACATCCCTTGAGGCCATTTTGCTTCTTCTGCTTCTGTATCTTGGACCAGTTTTAGGTCATCATAGGACACACTGGGTTGAAAAATCTAGGGTCGTCACACCATGACTACTTTGGTTCTAAGATTAAAAACCCTATAAGCCTGACTTGTTTGTGAATAACCCAAAAACACACCTTCATCACTTCTAGAGTCAAATTTTCCCAAGTGTTCCTTATCTATAAGGATATAACATTTACTTCCAAAAACTCTAAAGTATTTAACAGTGGGCTTTCTATCATACCACAATTCATATGAAGTCTTGTTAGTTCCAGGCCTAAGATAAACTCTATTTAAGATATAACAAGCAGTACGTACCGATTCAGCCCAAAAATGACTTGCAATTTTATTCTCATGAAGCATAGTACGTGCCATACCCGCAATTGTCCTATTTTTCCTTTCCACTACACCATTCTATTATGGTGTTTTAGGTGCTAAAAATTCATACTTAATGTCAGTCTTATCACAATATTCAATAAACTCCTTAGGTTCGAATTCACCTCCATTGTTGCTCCTAATCCGATTAATTCGATATCCCTTCTCATTCTAAATAAGTTAGCAAATAGACCTGAAATTCGCAAAAGTATCAGATTTTTCTCTCAAATAAGCAACAAAAGTAAATCTAGAAAAATTATCAACCATAATAAGCATATTTCTTTTTCCTCCAATGCTATCAGGTGTTATGCGACCCATCAAATCCATATGAATCAATTCTAAAGGTCGAGAAGTGACTTTTTGAATAAGTCTCTTATGTGACACCCTAGTTTATTTTCTTAATTGACATGGACCACATATTTCATTCTTAGGCATCTTCACTTTAGGCAAACCTCAAACAAGATCATTGTTAGACAAATTCACTAAATCATTATAATTTATATGTCCAAATCTTTTATGCCATAAAACAGCCTCATCAGTAACTGCAGAAAAACACATTAGTGAAGGATCTGAAAAAAACAACATAACAATTATCAGAAGTTCTAGTTCCTTTCAAGATGCATTTACCTTTTTCATTAGTTACAAAACACCCTTGTTGAGTAAAATTGACTTGAAACTCCTCATCACAGATTTAACTAATACTCAACAGATTAGCAGTTAAACCTTTAACATATAAAACATTCTTTAACTCTCCAATTCCTGAAAATTTGATCTTACGTTTACCACATACAGTAGAAGCATTACCATCACCAAAAGTAACAGTACCAACTGAACAATATTCCTTAAAAGTGGTAAACAATATTTTATCCCCTGTCATATGCCTAGAGCAACCACTATCAAAGTACCAACCACATGGACCAAGTGCTCTAAATACAGTGTGCATGGCAAGGCATTTAAAATTCTCTCTTTACCCAAACAGTTTTAGATTCATTATGCAATGATTTCCCTATTGTTCTAGGCAAAATGTCACAAGGCTCAACTGTTCATATCCTCTTCTTCCTAAAATTTGAACCTTCTAAATTTTTCAATTTCTGTCCTAGTTTAATTTTTTTTTTTTTTTTCTGACACTTATACTTGATATGCCTTTTTTTACCACAAAAATGACGTGTCGAAATAAGTTTAGGAGAATTAGAAACAACACAAGGTTTGGTTTCAACTTTCACAAAATATCTTTAGGTTTTTGAAAATACAAATCCTTTGAAGTTGAAACCAATTCTTTATTATGACTAATATTCTCAAACAATACTTTCAACTTATCAATTTTGCAAGTGTCAATATTAACTTTCTGAAAAGACTGTTTTGACTTAACAAATTCACTACTCAAATTATCAATTTTAAGTTCCAGTGATTTATCAAACAAATTTACCTTCTTAAGCTCATTTTTTCCAAAAAATCAATTTTATGAAGAAGATTCAAATTCTTATGGCCAATTTCTTCCAAATTCTTATTAGAGATAGAAACTTCTTAACTTATAAATATCTCTATCAAGTTCTGCAAGATTCAATTTCTCTAATAGATTTTCAAAATCCTTTTTAAACTTTGACCACTCAATTTGCATGCTTGTAACAGAATCAAAAACAGGAGGTAAAGCAACAACAGATGAATTTTCAGACATGATGCAAAAATAATCAACAATAAATCAACAAATATGATCTACTCTATATATCGAGTAACCAGCTCTGATACCAAATTGTGAAAATAGAGTTACGCGGGGTGCGAAAATAGTTAGTTGATTTTAATTGTCATTACCTCCTTTAATAACCTAGATTTGATTATTAGGTCAACTTGCTCAATTTATGATTGATTAAAATTATATGATCAATTTAAACATCCACAATCACAAATATATATAAAGTAAAGCAAGTAAAAGTTTAGAGAGATTGCACCAGGATTTTTAGTGAGGAAACCCTAGTTGATAAAATACGTCAACTGTTTGCATAGGAAAAATCTCGTGGACTATTCAGTCCAAAGTAAACTGATCCACTATGTTTGAAACAAAGTACACTGAACTTCGACCCTGGCTCACACCCTATCGTTTTACCAAACACCAATTGCTGACAATCTCTAGCTTTACGACTCCCCGTCCAACAGCAACTTGACCTCAGGCTTATGCTTGATATTTGAAAAAGAGTAACAGGTAGATCAGACAACACTTCTCAAATGCTCCAACCCTTTCAAAGTGTGATCGCTTTTACTTCAGTTCTTCAAGATCTGAACTCGATGTAGAAGAATTAAATCCTGCTCTTCATATGGAATATCTGAATCTTCAATATAGCTCCAATTTCGATGAGATAGAGAACAACACAACTAAATCACTCATGAATATATATGTGTACTTTCAAAAATAAATTTAGAATAATCAGATTTGACTTTCAGAATTTTCTCTCTCTAAAAGGCTTTCTCAAAATATAGAATTGATTTTCCCTAAAGTCATGAATAAACCTAGAAGTCTAATAAGGTTTATATAGAGTTTAGAATGTCCTAATCCCTCTGAAAATATGAAAAATTTCGTGCATAGGACTTGGAAAGAAATTGGGATCAAAAAGGAAACCAACAGAACAAGGAAACTTAAAACCTGATGCTGTTAGGACTCTTGGAACCAGTTCCCAGACCTTGGTACCAGTTCCCAACGATCAGAATGGTATCCAACGCTAATTTGGTACTGGTTCCTAAATGTGGTATCGGTTCTATATTGGCAGTGAACAAAACCTGTTTTGAACCAAGTTTGCTACCGGTTCAAAGTTTATGCTATCGATTCCCAATGCCCAGAAACGTATTCTCTGTTTCATTCACCCTCCTAAACTCTCTAAAGTGTTCTCACTCACTCACATAACTTTTTAAAGCATTGTTCTCATCATCTCGGAGTGTAGCAACCCATGAACACTTGAACTTCTTCAAATCCGCATCCGATCTTCAATATTTGAAATTTTGAACTGAAAAATTACAACTCGATTGGACTTATTTTGAAAATGAAATTAGCCAATAATAAAATATATCTCATAAATTTTAGTCTGAATGACTCTTGCTTGTTATCAAAACAAAATTTTATTCAAAGGTTGGGAGCTTATATGGGCCTATGTATTGTATTTTATGGCTTGGACCATTGGCATTGTAGATTCTCTCATATACTGTAATACATAAAGCAAAACATAATCATTATCTGTTAACATTTAGGGCCTATTTAGAAGTTCATATCTGATATTGTTTTGATGTTTTGGTTTTAATTTTGGGCCAATATCATGTTTGGAGTGGGCTGATGTGGTATTGAATAGTATCAAAACATTATTAGAGTTGGGACAAAACCCAAATCAAAGAATTGGTAATATTGGGTGATATGATATCCTGTAGCCGCGATATCAACCCAAACCAAAAATATATCACCCTCGTTTGATATCAACTATAAAAGATTCGCATATCAGAATTAGTCCATTTTTCAGCCTCACTTTCTCTCTCTTCGCGCAGCTCCTTGGAGGCGATTTCAGAGGCGATAACTCCATACACAAACTCTTCCACCATCGATCTGGCAGATCTCCTCCACCAACTACCTCCTTCCATTTTCGCCTCTCGGTTGTCTGTCTTCTCGCAGGTCGGTTGAGGCGATTTCATTTGCGCCTCTCATTTTTCTCTATTGTTGCAGATCGGGGTTGGATAATTGCAGATCAAGCCTTTTTGTCTGCAAATATTTCAAAAGCAAACACCAATTTCATCTCTCTCAACGGAGAATACGAATTGACAAGTGAACGATCAGTTCAGAAGAGAAAACGAAAAGAGGTTGCTATTTTCGGCAATTACAGAAACTACTATGGTTATCGTGTAAGTTTTTCTTCTCCTACTCCTTTCTGAAAATATCTAATATATATTAGTGTATTTGTTCATGTGTATAAAAGTGTTTTTGGATACTTGTCTAAGTTTGTAAGTAAATCTTCAGGATAAATTTTGACATAATCTGGGATTGGTGTATTTTCTCCATGTTGGAACTGAGTTATATATATATATATATATATATATATATATTCTTATTCGGCCTTCGCATTAAGAACGAACTTAACTTCAAATTTCTTTTTCTAAGTATGTGTTAATTTTATGGGGATTAATTTTTACTGGTGTCTTGAAATTTCAGGTTTGTCAGGACTTGAAGGAAGATCCTAGGTTAAAGGTTTTTAGAAAGGAACTTTTTGAAGGCAAGGATTGTCTAGACATTGGATGCAATAATGGATCGATAACAATCGCTATTGGTAATTAATTATTGAGTGGAGTGTTGATTTCACTAATAGAGTTGCATCTTTCATGCTCATATATTATGCTTGATTGTCTATTATTAGTTTTGTTCTGGTATAAAATTTTCCCTAAATTAAGAGGGCAAAATTAAAATCACACTGGTCTGATATTGCATTGATGAAAATGAAATCCTATGGAGAATATCATTTTAAAAAGCAAAAAGGCAAAACAATATAGATTGTAAAAATTCAGTATTAGTTCTCTGTCTCTCCCTCTTTAACTGAAATCAGATTATGCCTTCTTAAACCATTAAGTACAGAAATTTCACTTGAACAGGGAACTTTTTTTTCCCAATGTTGTATGTGAGAGTTTGTACATGCAGTATGTTTGCGTCCCAAATTCAGCAATACCAAGTTTATTTTATTTTATTTTATTTTGATCAAGCCTCGTTATAAACTTAATCTCCCTTATAAATTTATTTGTTGTGGAAACAGCTTTTGGATGCCTTCTTGCAATTGTTGCATTATAATGATTGTCCAAAATTATTTAGATATCTTAATGTTATGATGTGCTTCACTATGGTTCTTGCAAATCAATTTTGATTGTATAATGCGAATAGCAAGAGAAGGTATGACCTTGATATTGACATACTTTTCTTTGTTATTTGTAATGACAAGAAGATATTATGCAATGAAATTATTAATACCTTTTTTACCCCTCTTCCTCACTTGCAACGAATAAAATATATGTCATAAGATTTGGAAATGGAATGATGAGACCAATTATTAATTTTTTGTAAAAATTGTATGACATCTGAACTATTGTTTGAAAACTTAAAAAATGTTATTAAGCACATGTCACAAGTTGCTATTATTGTCGTTGTTGACATTATTATTTGTTCCACTTCTATTATGTTTTTTTTCGTGAATCAATTTCACCTAACTATTAAAAAATATATGTTTTTTTTTTCGTGAGTCAATTTCACCTACCTTAAGGAGGACCTTTGATGTCAGGATCTAGGGCCCATGGAAGGCTATTTGGCATTCCAAGGTCCTCCTTAAGGTAGTTCTTTTTTGTGTGGATTGCTGTTTTGGGGAGGATCCTGACGCTAGTCATCAACTAGCAGTAGATTGAAGGACATGGCAGTAAGTTATGGGTAGTGGCACCAGTGGGATTTATAGGAAGCATTCTCCAATTGCTGCAACTCCAGGAAGCTAGTGATCCCCAAGTTAATCAAATGGAGGCCAATGCAAGTATAAAGAAATGTGTGTACATTTTATGAAATGAATTTTAGTGATCTCCAATTGTGTGTACATTTATGCAAGTATAATGAAGTGTGTGTGTACAAAGGAATGTCTAGCTCCCTATATGTGCAACTATATATGTGAATGGTGCAACAACAATTTATGAAGTTTGTGATGTACAAAAAAACTTGTGGTTTGGTGTGTTATTTAGGATTGATTAAAATCCTACCAAATATTTTCAAGTACTTGTTTGGATGGCAATAATTTTTCTAGCAGGTTGTTTGATGGCATGCCTCTCTTTTTATTTTTTTATTTTTTTCGGGGTGATTTATTGTTCAGTCTTGTAAGAGAGGGATCTTTCTTGATTGCTTGCTTTTAATCTTTTTTCCTATTTATCAATTCTGGTTATGGTGGGAGATTGTACGAAATATTCAGAAGTTAGTTATCAAAATTAATACTCAACAAAAGGGGAAATGGTCTCATGAGTTAACAATCAAAATATTAGCACTTTGAAGGATCTCCACCAGAAAATTTCGAACTAATATCAGTGAAGTAAAACCATTCACAAGCTTTAATGTCGACCATAAGTAAACCTCAACATTGACCAATTCAAGAAGATCAACGTTTTGCCTTTGTTTCTTCTTAGTTTCAATTACAAAGATCTCTCTCTTATTCATAATGAATTTATATATATATATATATATATATATATATATATGAAACAAAACAAAGTTAAATGGAGTGCAAGCCAAAAGAAAAAGATAAATGGAGTGCAAAGATTTCCTCTCATTAAAAGATTATTACAAAGTTAAATTTGTGGTTTGGTTGCCATTAATCATGTTTATGCCTCATAAATATCCCACATGATCTTATTTATTCATTATTTTTTTTTCCAACTTTTTAATGGAGAATATTTTTTTTATTTTAACAAACTATCCCAAATTATATAAAAAAAAAAAAAAAAAAATGGACTATTACATATAAACTTATAATTGTATTCATATATATAATTATGCAAAACAAAAACAAAACAGTCTTTACCAAATAGGTATCTTGTTATTGATTTAGAATTTTTGACAACAAAACTAATTTCCCAAACGTATTTTGTTTTTGAATTTTTGATATATAATTATCAAAAACAAAACAGTCGTTACCAAACTTGGTTCCAATTTCTACTTAAAAACATACCAATACTAAAACGGTTGTTTTCATATTATACCAAACCATAATATATATTGTTATCGTGATCCAAACGGGCGCTTAATCTCGTGCAATAATAAAACTCAAATATATTATCCAGCCACATTTTTTTATTCACTCATTAGCAAATATATAATATAGCACTTTATGTTAATTAGTAGAAAAGATTCTAGTTCATAGATCAATCAAGTGCAAATGTCACATTGTAAATAGCATGCATTTTTCATTTCCCAAAAGGTTAACAATTGAAGACGTAATTACAAGGGCACTAGATTTAATAAGGCCAAAGTACAGAATAGCCCACAAGGGGAGACCCAAAACATTAACAGTTCTTTGAGACCCGGCTTAAGCCCGGACAATTGAGAAGGACATGGCCCAAATCTTAAAGGCCCAAACCAGTATCTCCTTTTGAATTGCCATTAGTAACGGCTAGTAACGGCTATTGAAAGAGAAGTTTTTATTTTTTAAATTTTAATTTTTGGTAAATAATTGTGTAGTAGAAGAAAAAACTTTACAAATATTCTTGGGGCATATAATTAATCTGGTACGAGTGATCCGGGAAATTGAATATTTTCTTACTAGATGTTCACCCTTCTTACTTCTAGATCCACCCGAAAGCGATTCCTCTTTGTGAAAAAATCGATGTTGATGTGGTTTGGAACATAATCATTTACAACATCGATCTAGTGAAATGTAATGGTGGAGATCACTCCCATAGTAAACCCTACATTGCTAATAAATTGAATGATCGCGCCTTCACCGTCTTTGTATTTAGCGGAGAGGATTTTGGTTCATATAACTGGTAAACCAATGAGATCTCAACACTAAATTAGTTTTATGGCATATATTAATTAAATTAATCTTCAAGCGTAAATTTTCAACAAAGATCGATGTGATAGATTATGGCTCAATTTTCTCGTTTGTCAGTTTTTGACTAAAAAATTAATTTAAATTAAATAAATAGAAAAAGGAAAAGAAAATTCACCTCTTGAATTGATATACACCAATAACCATAAGAAGTTGAGTGACCTATAGTTGTCACAAAATCCCTTATCAAGTATAAAACAGTAAATGATTTCGAATAACTTTTTATTTTTTATAATTTTTTTTTAAAGAGTAATGATACCCATGCTATGATGACTCGACATTGACAATGACGGAGGAGGCATGAGCTATTGACCTTACATCCCCTCTTACCGTGTCGAGGAGTCTAGATTTTTTCTCATCTCCTTAAACATTAAAATAATCAATTATTTCTAGCTATTTTTACATACATTGTTATATGTGCGCCTATATGCATTTAGTATATTAGACACTACCCAAGTAACTAAGTATTCATTAATTTTTGTTAACTTGCTACTTAGCATTTCAATTCAAGAAATAATGAAACCCTAAATTAGAGAAAAACAAACTAAAGACCTAATTTGTAGCACGTTATGCAGACATATGAAACACACATGTCTTTTGCCAATTAAGTAGACAACGATACACTCCAAACTTGCACTTATTTACAACCTCCCACCAAAATCCACTCGAGAGGAACAGTATATATATATATGTTCATTATTATTACACTTCCAAGTCTTTTCCCCAACTTTCTCAAAAGTTGAAAACAAAGACAACAATACAATCGACAACAATATCATTAGTGACAAATGACAACTACAACATGCGTACACAGATTACTTGAACCTACACAAAAACAAACACTGCAAATTTCAAAAGAAATCCAAAGACACTTTCCACAGCTACAAGATCGATCACAATCAAGAGAGACACAGATACAGAAAATACCTAGACCTTTTTTTTTTTGGTCGATCCATAGTCAAGAAACATGTTAACCAGATCTTTCAGATCTTTATTCCTTTCCTTTCCTTTCCTTCCAAGTTACTGTCAATGTCGGCGTCCCGGTGTCCAGTGTGGTGCCGAGGGGCTAAAATGCGCCGAGACCATTCTCGAGTCGAGTAGTTCTGTGATGGGTGTGAAGTTCACACACCTTGGGACCTTGTACTGATTGATAGAAGCACCCCTAGAGATGGCATAGTCCATGAGCTCCTCAAATGTGCCATTTTTCACAACCCTAATCTCCAGCGGTCCAATTGAGTTGTCCGCGACTCGGCCTTGCCGGTACACTGAGTTCATTGACTCCTCCATAGCTAGGCAGCATTGCTCCAACACCTCGTGACTCGGCAAATTAGCTGGATCTTTAATCATCAGCTCCCAATAGATCACATAGTGTCCCGGGATGGTTTTGGTATCACCATAGCTAGTGTACTCGACTATGCTGGCATTGAATTCACGCAGAAGTAGAGAAGCATTGTCAATGGCCTTTTGCAGCTCGGACTCGTCGGTTTTATCCGAGTCAATGCTCAACAACACGTTCTTCCTCCTTATGAACTTGAACTGTGGGGCTGCGTTGTGGAATCCGGTGACAAGGAGGATGTCACCGACTCTGTACCGGCACAGACCGGAGTAGGTGCTGATCACGAGCTCGTATTCTTTCCCCACTTCAACGTCGGCTAGGTCAACGAGCCGGGGAGGCGAATCACGGGACGGAGGGGGAGCTGAGGGGTCATAAGGGAGGAACTCGAAGTAGGCCATGTTTGGCATGATGGTGTAAGAAACTTCAGAGGGCTTAACCATTGGTTTTAGGTTAAGCCCAAAATAGCACTCAGAAGAAGCATACATAGTGCAAGCTTGTGGTAAGCCATTGCTATAGTAATCCAATGTGGGAATGTACTGAGCCATTGCTCCGGTGACGATCACGTCGAGGTACTTAGTGTTTGGCCAAATTCTTAAGATAATGCCCTCCCAATTCTCACCTTCACACTCCTTGGTGATGAACTTAGCAAGTTCTTGATTGGGTTTGAGGATGTTGGAGATGCATTCCCGGACCGAAGGGTCAGTCACCCTAGAGTTTAGGGTCCCTGATTCAATGTCGTCCGCCAGTTGCTTCCAGTTGAGCTGAAGGAACCGGATGGCGCGGAGAAGGCCTGAGGCGAACACAGCACCAACTCGGAGGACTTCTTCGCGCATGAGGAGGCCACAGAGCATTTGAGAGTACATGCTCTGGAAAGAGTCAACACAGAGAATGGCCTCATTAGGGCTAGTGTAGACCATGTAAGGGTCATATGGCCTGGTCTTGAAATGGTCACTGTTGTAGTAACTGGTGAGGACCGGCCGCGCAACTAGGCCGCTTGGGGTCTTGCTCTCTGCCTTCACAAATAGGAAATATAGACCCTTCCCTTTGTCCAGACCAGGTACATAACTGCAGTCATATATACTCATGATTAATTTAATCATCAAATAGTCCTCTATTTTTTTTTTTTGAGGTAATTAGTAGTAAAATGTATAGATTAAACGAAGGCTGATCAACTTACAAGGTTTTAGGAAAAAAAAAAAAACTTACAAGGCTTAACACAAGCATGAAAAGGGTGTGTAGATTAGATGGCAGTCAAATTATAAGTAACATAATGTACACTATGTATTGAAAAAAAAAATTGCTTACAGATTCATCACAGGCATGAGAAGGCTGTATAGTTTCTGTCTTCTGTCCAACTCTTCATGAATTGTTGGCATGAGTTTTCTTTCACCAGCTGATGTCCCGGAACTGCAGATGATCAAAACTCCATAGTCAACTCATGCAAAGACACATTCACATATATACACACACACATACACATTACACACACAAAATATTGACAGCTGCAAAACTATAAATGCAGTTCTATATATGCTAACCAACATGTGCTCTAAAAAATTTAGTTTCCTCCACTTGTCACCAATTAAATTCAGTTTGTGTATGAACTAATTAGAAGTACTATAACTATCAAGAAATGGTGAAATTTGAATTCAGAAGCTTGTTTGTAGTGCCATGTTAATCATCATAAAAAGGACAAACTCAGTGCTTGAGACTTCCAATATTAAAATGGTTTTGAAAGGTCCAGATATACACAGCCTTAACTTCGGAGAGGCTATTTTCTTAATCATATATATATATGTATGTATGTATGTATGTATACATAAAGAATATAGGTTAGTTACCTAGTGAGGAACTCCGAAATGGGGTGAGAGGAGAAAATAGGAGTGCGGTCGCCATTAGCAACACGTTGGATATCAGGCTGGAGATCTTCATAAGTGACAACCGGTACTTTGGACTTGAACTTGCCTCGATCGGTTGAACTACCAAGTTCAAACCGGCCGAGGTACTCGGTCTTGGCGTTTCGGCTCAATATTTCAGCCAAAAGCTTCTCCTGCACCGAGTCTACATTTCTAGTCATATCTTCAATGAACTGAAGAGCTTTGGCATCCTTCTCACATGCCGGAGGTCCGAGAGGCGAAGCAAGACCGGAATCAACGGTCATGATTGAAACTTGAAGAAGATGGAGGAGAGAGCTAGCTATTGAAAGATCAAATGGTTTTGTTGAAGAGTAGTGTGGCTTAGCATATGAGAACCAGCATGGTTTATATAGAAAAATGAGAGAGAGCTCAACTAGGGTTTTGTTTTTCACATTTTTCAACTTTGTTTACCAATTTGCCACGTCACCATCACACGTGGAGGGCCGGACGAATATATATCTCCTTGGAAGGACATTGACAAAGCATTGTTTTTGGTGTTGACATATGAATTTTTTTATTTTATAGGTATGGTGAAGGGGGGACACGTGGGATCCACAACACGTCAGCATGGCTTAACAGCAGGGGACAGGTGGCCCCCACACTAGCCAGATCAGCAAGGTCCATGTTGGGGGCTTTTGTCCGGATCCAAATCAAACGGTTCTTTTGTGGTGAGCCCTGTTGGTTACGGACAACGATAGCCCGCAGGCCAATAGGCAATTCTCAGCTCATGCCTATATATAATATTATATGTATCTATAGTACTATATATATATATATATATATATATATATATATATATATATAAAGAGTGAGAAAAAATAGAGAGATAGAGTACTGATAAAGAGACGGCAAAGACAATATGAAGTTTGTAAGACACAGCTAAAAATTATTTACCATGCATTATAATGGTGTAGTTCACCATTAGAAATGGTAATGGGGCGAATTTATAACGGGTTTACTTAAATTTATTCCCGTCCTATTTAATTATTGACAAGTTCATGTCCGTCCCGTGCTTCACGACAGGTTGGATTTTCATATTCATCCCCGCCCCGTTGGAAATGTTGTGCTTCGTGCCCGTCCCGCTAACAAAAATTTTCACTAACTTTTTTATTTTTTTAATGAATAAATCTGCTAAATAAAACATGAAATTTCAAGATTTATAGATTTATAATTTTTTTTAAAAAAAAAAAGATAGGCGTATTTTGTTTAAATTTGATATTTAATACAAGCAGAAAAATTAGGAATAACTATATATGCATACTGTTATATATCACAAGAACAGATCTTCATCTATAAAATTAATGAACCAAAAATGCATAATTTACATTACAAATTAATGAATAGTTTGAAGATTGCAACTTGAAAAGCCAAAAAGATATATAATTAGGGCTTAGCGTTGGAAGATGAAGAAAGATTGCTTAAACAGTACTACCTAACTTCGTTCCAAGTTTTCGTTTCACTGCCAACCAAATAATATGTTAAGGTAAGGGCAACCACAAAGATTGCGTGACCAATTACAATATTAGAACCACAAGTCATGAGAGAGAGAGGACAGATTACCTTGATGCGACTCTTGCTATAGTATAGTATCACTTCAGTTAGGGTTGTAACTTATAACCAGGGACGGACCCAGCAGGGACTAGGGGGGGCAGATGCCCCCCCTAAATTTTTAATATTTTCATTTTATACCCTAATGTTTTTAAAATTTATGAAAATGACCCCCTAAAATTACAATTCGCCCCCACTGGATTCTTTTTTTTTTAGCATTTTATACTTCAAATTTTGATAATTTATGAAGATGCCCCCACTATAATTATAATTTGCCCCACTGATTTTTTTTTTTTTCATTTTATACTTAAATTTTTTTAAAATTTATGAAAAAAACCCTACTAAAATTACAAAAATAAACCCATCATATAATTTTGTACCCACAAATTAAAAATTCGCCCCCCCTCACCAAATTTTCTGGGTCTGTCACTGCTTATAACACTTATATATATATATATATATATATATATATATATATATGTATATATATATATATGTACACATAAGTTATTAATATTAAATATAATATATATATTAAATAGAATTATATGTTAGCGCGGCGGAGTGGGGCGGGTATGTATCAAAACTCGTTCCCGTCCTGTGACTGGTTCAAAATTTGTTTACATACCCGTCCCAACGGTATAAAAATTGTTTCCATATCTGTTATTAACGGGACGGGACTGGGCGGTAAAAATTGCCACCCTATGTGCAACACACTTATTTTGAGCATACAATAAAAAATAAAAATAAAAAACTTCAAAAATATTCAATTATTTTAATGATGGAAGACGACTAAATCAAAGTTGTAATACAATTAATTATACATATTTTCTTTTATCTTACACAAGCTTACTTATTCAACTAAGAAAATATTTCACTCTTCGAACTAGTGTGTTGCATTTTTTAAAATAATTGTGTTACATATTTCAACTAAGTGTGTTAGATGCGTACAAGACAATACAACACCAAGTGTATACGGTATAGAATTGAATTCCATGGGGAGGAACCTAATCGCTATATATATATTACATTAGATTTAGTGAAAGATTAGAAGAATGTTTAAATGCTAATGACAGGTGAATAGAAATTTAATAACATTATCTTGGTGCTAATCAACCTAATTCTAGAAAAAAAAATATAGTGCAGCAATCATGTGGACAACCTAGGTGTTGTCATATCTTGTAGTTAGTGTTTCATCTTTTTGATTGTTCTGGTTGTCAATTTATTGAAATAGGTGATTTTCTATTATTGAGGCTTGGAAAAGTTGTCATGAGTTTTTTAAACGCAATGGTATATATTAGTTCCATCACAACGACATTGTTTTGATCGCCTGTTATATATATATGAATATATCACATTCAATGTTATAATATGCATGCAATTGGAGATGACGATTAATTATATGAATTTGGTGTTGAACTTCATCAACCTAATATGTATAATTAATTGTAAGGGTATGTTTGGTTGCTAGGGGGTAAAGATACAATCAAGGAAGAAAGGATCGAAGAGAACTTCGTAAATTGAAAAAAAATAGGGATGTCAACTGAACAAGTTCAGAGTTAAAGAATAAGACATAACGTTACTCTTGTAAATTTATATGATGATAACTATTTTGAGGGTTGCTATCAGTGTTACATACATTGATTAATTAATAAATTACGAAGCAAATAAATAAGGGGAAGTGAAACAAGGTTTAATAGTAATTGTGGTAATAATTATAATAATGATAAATTGTGGCGTAGTTATCAACTTCATGCTGTAATAATGATTTCAACCAAGTTTGTAACTCATTCTTTTCATTTCAAAGTAAAAGGTGGACGATTTAAGTCCGTGGGAGTTTTATTTTATTCTATTTTTTGACTGCCTTCTTATTCTACCATTGTCCACTTTAGACTTATATTTATAAGGTAAATTACATCTGACTCCTCAATACTTTTAGGGTTAAATCACAAACTTGTATAGTTAAAAGGATTCGAACTCATGACCACACAGTGGGTATAGTTCACCCAAAGAAAAATATTTACTGTTTCATCCATTTATATCTTTGAAAAAGAAGGGAGGGGTTCAAGTCCCAACGTAGGTAAAAAAAATGTGTCTGTGTTTTCTTTATCATCAAAAAAAAAAAAAAAAAATGTTACGTCTGGAGCCCCCTCCCCCACTCCCCCATTGAATATTCTAAAAAGAAACATGATACCGTTAGGAGAAAAAAGCATTACCCATTCCGTGTGTGCACGCGTGACAGAGACATGGAAATATTTTATTACATGATTAACATCAATGTTGACATCACCAAAACTTTCTAATAAGGTAATAGTTTGTGTGTGTATTATAAAGGTGGTGGTTAACAATCATAGTTAATTAAAAGAAAAGAGAATTACTAATATACCATGAACTACTTTAATGACCATTAAAGCATCTATGCGATTTTCAGACACTCAAGTTAAGACCATCACAAGCTTAGGACCACATCGAAGTGCCTAATTCACTGTCTCATTCTTGACAGAATGTGACAACACACACAAAAATATATATATATATATATATATATATATATATATTTTTGTGTGTGTTGTCACATTCTATATATATAAGAGAATGTTGCAATTTGTTTTTCAATCTTAACATTTCTTGAACCGGTTCAAAATGGCCAAGTACACGGAAGAGTCCACATAGTACACCAAAATCATGTAAATTTTTCAACACATACATCATTACTTCAATTTTCAAGTCATCTTTTAGTTTCCGGATACGAATGCCTCTATCGATTTGGAGCTTCTTCTCAGTCTCATATGCAAGTGGTATAAGAAACATCTCAACAGATTGTCATTTCTTCAAGTACCACCAAATCCTCTCTCTCTCTCTCTCTCTCTCTCTCTATATATATATATATAGATTCTCTCTCTGTATATATATTTATGGGCCTAGTGCAAAAAATATATCTAATATATATTTTACGTAACACTTTTAATCTTTTTAAAATTATGCAAAAACACCCTTCAATCAGAAACCGGACATATATAAAATAGTGCAATAATACTTGTTTTGTCCTTTTACTCTTCCTAAAATGTCCAAGGAGGTATATATCCTAATAATCTCATAGTATAGAGGTGTTATGTGCACGTTAACTATATTTAATCCACTTTTAAAGATTTTCATTCACCTTTTTGAAAAATAATTTGTCTCTATATATTTACGCTAACAATGTATTATCTCTAAAAAGATATATATATCACAATTGTCAGATTAATATAAAGTCTATCATATGTAAAGAAAACTTCAATTCCTTTTATAATTATAAATAAGAAAAAAAAATTATTTACAATTTATTTTTTAATATAATTATCCAGTTTTCATTAAATATATAATTAAGAAATTAAATTAAAGATACTTATTTATTATATATAAACAATATTAATTTTTCACACTTTAGAATTTATTGCTATTGAAATAAATAAATAATAAAATAAAATAAAAATTGGGTGTTCAATTATATAGTGTCATCATACTATTCAAATCGCGATAAAATTACGTTCTCAATTAAATTTAGACGTTAAGATCAAAATATTCAAAACAACAATAGTTGACAAAGTGTTGAAAACACCCTTATAATATGCTTACATTGTGTATTACACCCCTCATGTAACAAATGATCATTTTCGTTATTTCATAAAATGATGCATTTTTAACTGAATCACTCTGCTCCATCCCTACTTATGCTGAGATCAAAGATTGCATGTTCTCCCTAAGCTGTGACAAGGCTCTAGGCCCTGATGGTTTCAACCCTCATTTCTTCAAGAAGTCCTAGGCAGTAATAGGTCATGATGTTACAAGGGCTATCAGTCAATTTTTTTCCACTGGGAAGTTGCTTAAAGAGGTTAACAGCACATACATTTCACTTGTTCCTAAGGTTCCAAAACCTATAACCATTAGTGACTTCAGGCCAATTTCCTATTGTCAACTATATACAAGTGCATATCCAAGCTTATAGCAAACAAGCTCAAGCCTACTCTTCCTCTAATCATTGACCAGGCCCAATCAGCTTTCATCCTTGGAAGACAAATTGATGATGGTATGCTCTTGGCTCAGGAGCTTTTGAATGGGTATCACAGGCACACAGCTTCACCAAGATGTGCTCTTAAAATTGACCTTAGAAGAGCCTTCGACTTAGTGTCTTGGGATTTCCTTTTCCAAGCTATAATGCTAATGGGATTTCCTCAGGTGTTCATTGGCTGGATTAAATCTTGTGTTACCTCCCCTTCCTTCACCATTTCTATCATTGGTGAATTTAATGGGTTTTTTAATAGTGTCAAGGGGCTAAGACAAGGTGACCCCTTGTCACCATTCCTCTTTGTGATTGTTATGCAGGTCTTCTCTTTGATGGTGAACAAATCTACATCTACCTTGCCATTTAAATACCATTGAAGATGTAAACACTTGAAGCTCACACACCTCATCTTTGCAGATGACCTTATGCTCTTCACGCATGCAAGTATTCCATCCATTACAACTCTTAAGCACACTATTGAATCATTCAGTGCCCTCTCTGGACTTCAAATCAACTACAACAAGAGCCAATGTTTTTTATCAGGTGTTAATGAAAATTTGGAGTCCAACATCTTATCTCTTCTTGGCTTTGAAAAAAGGACTCTCCCTGTAAGGTACTTAGGTGTGCCTCTGATCACTACAATGCTGAAAGCAAATGACTGCAGATCCTTAATTGACAAGATCACCAAGATGATTGCTCACTAGACAAGTAGAGACCTTTCCTTTGCTGGCAAGCTACAACTTATTAAAGCAGTGCTATTTTCTACCCAACTCTACTGGAGCTCAAAGTTCATACTACAATGAGTGTCATCCATGAAATGGACTCCCTATTTAGATCTTTCTTGTGGTCAGGTCCCTCTCTCAAGAAAACAGGTTCAAAGGTGGCTTGGTATCTATGCTGTCTGCCTAAGAGGGCTGGAGGTCTTGGTATTCCAAACCTACAACTGTGGAATGAAGTTGCTGTAATGAAGCATTTCTGGCACATCATCAACTCCAAACAGATGTTATGGGTTAAATGGATCAATCAATACTTGCTCAAAGGGAGGAGCATTTGGGAAATCAAGATCCCAGGTCAATACTCTTGGAACTGGAGAAGGCTTCTCAGCTTAAGAAGTTCAATTAAGCCTTTTGTCAAACATGAAATTGGTAATGGTTCAATCACCAATTTTTGGTTTGACAACTGGTGCAGTCTTGGACCTCTTCATCAATTAATCAACCTACAGCAGCTCAGAGATACTTGCTTTGATACAAAAACAAAGCTATGCTCATTTATATCAAACTCCAATTGGTATTTCCCTCCTGCCATTACCACATTAATCCCTCAACTTTTGCAAGCCAATAATTTGACACTGCCATGTCCAGAGAAACA